GTGTAATCTGCAATAAAATGAAATGTTTGGGACCACGGCCGCAATTTTCCCAAAGATTAATGTCAAAGTTAATAGTTGATTTTACCAACATAAAAGGAGAAATGGATCTAATCGATCGCGGACCCAACTCGTCCAATAACGGTTCACGCTTGTCTTGAGATGAGCTATGATGAGCGGAGCTCACCTTTTTTTCCATGACTCGGCTCGTTTGGATTCATGGACCAACTCACACTTTCTTTTTTGACGTACTCTATTAATTTCTTTAAAAAAAATTGCTTGTTTTTAGGCTTATTTTGTTAATTTCTTTTTTAAAAAAACAAGCCAACTCACAAACGACTCGACACGGCCCAAGAGGCTCACAAGTTAAAGGATCAAACTTAGCACAAGATGTGGTTGATATTGATTATTTGATTTTGATTTAGATTAAAATCTGATCCAAATAAGTCCTAAATTTCCATCAACTTTTTTAGCGACACAAGATTAGGACTTCATAAAAATGTTCGTACTTTAAAGCTAGAGAGGTGGAGATGTCCAAGTGGAAGGGTAGGGCCGGGCCGACCCAGCCCGGCCCGCTAATAGCCTGCACGGCCCACTTCCAAATTTTATATTCCCTCTTTAAGTCTTTACCACTTTCGAAATCATATCATAAAGTTCTACACCAAAAGCTGTATAGGAACACACCACCACAACCATGGGCAAGCTTAAAACCGTCGCTACCGCCACCACCGCCACCGCCACCAGTGCTTACCCACTCATTATCACCACCATTCTCCTGGTGGCACTTCCATGCCTAACAGCAGAGTCGACCCCCGTCGCCGCTGCACCTTCACCAGCATCAGAGGATTGCTTCAACTCTTTGATCAACTTATCTGACTGCTTAACTTTTGTGGAGGAAGGTAGCAATCTAACTAAACCAGACAAAGGGTGCTGCCCAGAATTCTCAAACTTGTTGAATACTCGGCCAGTTTGCCTATGCCAACTTCTTGGTGATCCTAATAAAATTGGAATTCCCATTGATACCAAGAAAGCCATGAAACTCCCTTCTGCTTGTGGTGTCAACACTCCACCGGTTAGCTTGTGTTCAGGTACATTTTCTCATTTCTTAACAATTTTTGACTTATCTATAACTTTTTAACTTATAAGTAAGAAATAGTAATTTGTCCAATACAGATCTCTTCGATACTCGAACCTGCTTTTTTTGTAATTTTCTTTTTCAAATTTTGAATACGAAATGATTATAATAATTTCTTGAATAGAATATCGGACCCACTGCTTTATCTTTTATTGATTTGTGGACCAACATGTCTTAGACAAGTCCATGCTACACAAATTATTGTTATGTAGTAAGCAAGATTATTTAATATTAGACAGCTGGAATATTATATAGCCCATGTTTGTTTCACATTACTTTAACAAGAAAATGAATTTTTTGACCATTTGTTTCAAAAAAGTGGAGTCCGCTATGACACAAGAAAAATGCTGAATGTACAGAACTATTCATGCCAGAAGTTTCACAGAAGAGTCACATGGATATAAGTCTCACCTGATTTAAATATTATTAAAAAAAGTGGGTCCCACATGTCTGTGTCTCCCCTGTATTTTTTCGTTTCTGTACCTATAGCATCCTTCATGACACAAAATGGTCCACTATTACGGCTCACCAACTGTAGTAACGGTAAAAATTCTGCTTAATAGAGGAAACAAACAGGGGCATAGTAGCTCTACGAACATACATTTTTTTTTTCAAAATAAAAAAAAAATATAATAAAAAATTGTTTCTATTTATCATAAAAAGTTTATAAATTCATTTATGACATGTGGCATGTATAGTTTAATGGTATAATTCGTGTCCAAGATTTTCAGTGTTGATTGCTTTGTGAATTTGTATTTGATTTGCTTATTATTTGTGTATTATTTGTTGCACATTGTTGTCATAATCATAAATTAAATTATAAAGTTTTTTTTTTTTTTGGAGGATTCTAATTAATTTTTTTTTTAATTGTAATTTGTAGTAATTGGTGTTCACGTTGGAGCACCTGCACCAAGTGAAGGCCCTTCATCGCTTGGTGGTACTCTCTCTTATTCTTAATTTTTACTTTGGAATACATATTTGCAACAAGACAAATATAATAAAGTATTTTAAAAGTAATTTGTGAGTACATAGCCTACATTGAATGAGGCATAATAATAAACGAATAACTACAAGTCTCTTTCATAATTATGTTCAGTCACATTCATTTCAACTTATTGAACGTATTTATATTTTAGTAATATGGATACAAAGAAAAGTGTTAGTTGATAATTTACAGCATGTTTGGAAGAGCTTTTGAAAAATCAAAAAGTAGCTTTTAAATATGTTCAATAAATTTCTAGAAGTGTTTTGTTTGGCTATAAGAGCTCTTAGAGAGAGTTGGTTTAAGGCATGGACGGATCCAGGACCTGATTATAGGCCGGGTTAATACGTAAAAAAAAAAAAAAATTACACATGATTTTTTTTTTACATAAATTTTTTGTTCTAACAAAAAAAAATTTA